CTGGAGAGTTTGAAATATCCTTCAGAATAACATTAGAGTTTTTCAAAATTTTGGTTGGGGCAATATCCTCTATTGGTTTTTCTATGTCTTGGCAATTGTGTGTTAATTTCTAGGGACCATAAGATTTTGCTTGAATGCTTTTAATGGTTGGTACTATTGTAGTGTTCTGGATCTTGTTTTGTGATTCATGCCCAACATGGTGACTCAAACAGATGATGAAGTAATAATCTTTTCATTTATATTTATTAAAATTATTTGCTTGTTTTTTCTTACACTGTGAATTGGAGGTTTACTTCTGTGTCATTGCTAAAGAAAATTTTCTTCTAAATGATCTCAGTGGGTGTAAGTTTCAATATCCACAAATGGTTTTATTAATCTTCATCTTATCTAGAGATAAACCTGATGTCAAACAACTTTTCTTTCATTATTTTGGATGCTGAGACTGCATGTCTTATTTCAATGAAGTGACGTTATGCTAAGATTAGATAGAATTCATGAAAATGGGCACCAGACTGACTAGAGGAGTGAGTGAATGAATTTGGAATGGGGATTGCAACTCATTAAATTTTGTGTTATTGCCATAAAACATTATGTGTTCACTCATGTGCAGGCCTCTTTTGTTTTATGTCGAGTATTTAACAAATCTCTTGCTGGAAATGGTGCTTCTGAGAACATTTTAAGCTCTGGTGCAGAAGAAAGTGGTTCTACAGTGTTTAATATTTACAACACTGGTGATAATATTTACAACACTGGTGATAATATTTACAACACTGTTGATAATATTTACACTGGTGATTATATTTACACCGGTGATTATATTTACTACAACACTGAAGTTAAAGTTGCACCTGACACCGCTGAAGTTAAGGTTACACCTGTTGCTGCTGAAGTTAAGGTTACACCTGACACCACTGAGTCTCCTCCAAGCATTCCATCAAGTGAGCTGGTAACCCATTTTGATTACTTTGTCCTGCTATGGCACTTATGCTGCTGCTGCCTTCATTTTTATAAATTAAGATTTTGGATCAAACATGCCTTCAACCTAGCAAAATTTATTTATTTATTTGTTTATTTTTTGGAATGTGTTTATTTGATCATCCATTTTCTTTAGAAAATTTTGAAATACTCATACATGCTGTCATAAATCATTTGCAACAGCAACATGCCTATGCAAGCTGCCCCCAATCATAATTCACAAGCTGTGAAGGCAGCTTTCATGCGGAATCAGGATTGTTAGCAATGACCTTGCCTCTTGCCATCAAATTTATCATATTTGTGTTTATGCATAAACTAGATCAATCCGTCAGCTTTTCCTTGCCCATAATTTTCTTTAACCTATCATCTTTCTAAGCCTCTTTTCCTTATAAAAACCCATCTGTATTGATGTTTTCTGTTCAAATCCTGAACTATGAAGTGTATGTAAACATAATGTAATGGTTTAAGCATATCCAGATTCCATATAAAATGTTGCATTCCTTGAAATTTATTCAAGTTTTTTGCTTCATGACTGATGCAGGTGATATCTGAGGAGCTAGCCCCCCTGCTTTTTTACATTCTAGAGGATGATTTCATAGAGCTGGATGATCTTGTGAAGTAATTGTTCGTGACAGAGATCAAAGCTAATGAGGACATTCATCTAGTTGCTTGGATTAGTTTATTGATTGGCTGAAGCAGTTCATTACCTAGACACAGCCAAGAGTATTGATTTAAAAACTTATTTAATAGATGAAATGAACAAAACATTCTACATGTTTGAATTCGAGAGATAAACCTAATGGCAGGTTCAGTTCACCTTTTAAGGTGATTCTCAGTTTGTTCTCATTGCTAGTGTTTTAAGTTTTAAGCAATATCATTTCATAGATTTTGGTAAATTTATGTTTTGATTTGTCCTGCAGGTAATTTTGAGTGCCTCTTATGAGGCATTTTCCTCTGGAAGAATTGAGGAAGTGTTACATTGGATGATTCAGAACTAGGTCTCAATACAATTGCTTCACCTGGCTTGGTGAACTTGGAATTTTTTTCATCTCGCTTCCTCATTGCCTTTCCTTGGAAAGGCCTCTTCTCAAGCCTGTTTTATTTTCATTTCCTTAACTTCATCACTGAAGACAGCAGAGAGGTTGGCGGAGACTAATTTGCGCAGCCATAATTTACAATATCTTTGTCTTATCCCTGCATAAATGAAGTTATTTTTCTTCGTAGTTACAGGGATAAAAAACTGTTGCTGGGATAAGACAAAGCTTCCCCCAACCGCTTTACTGCCTTCACTTGGCTAGGCTTTCCTTCGTTTGGCTGGTTTGTAATCTAGCCTTCTACTCACTGCTCGGGTAGATGTCCTAGATTATTGGTCCAAATGGAGCAAAACTATAAAATGCGATGCTCTTAGTCCCTTAGCTTCCATATTTACAGTGCTTGCTTAGTTGTTGCGGTGCTTTGAGAAAGTGCTAATGGTACTTATCTGCATTTATGACAACCCTGTTTATTGGCCTTTGCTTGGAACTTTGGATTAGGCTTCTTTTTTGTCCAAAGTCTACTTTTCCTCAGAAAAGTAGGACAACCATCAGAAGTTAGCAAGGAAAACCTTTAGGTTATGTCTGGTCAAATTATTGGCTGGTCCATGGTTATTGCATGGGAAATAAAGGTAAATTTTGGGGAAAGCATGGCACAGTAGGAATGACCAATGCTTGTGCCTATTTTCTTTGGATAGGTGAGTTTGAGATGGGAATCACGGAAACCTAGGAGGAGGTGGTAATAGTTATTCTCATATTACTCTTATTCAAAGAAGATAGGCATTAGGCCTTACCTACCTTGTCATGCTCTCCCCCAATTATACATCTTTTTTATGCAATAACGATGGAATAGCTCTTTCATTGTAGCAAATATGACTTTAGGATGTAGCTGCAGCCCATTGATTTAAAAAGGTTACTAGTAGTTTATAGATTCTAGAAATCTGGTTCCAGTCCTGCTGGTAGGGCATTATTAAGAGGTCCTGTTAGCTGTTGGAAGCAAACCATAGAAGACCTGAATTTGTTGATCCTAAATAGGTTATACTGTAAATAGTGCTGTGCTTACTCCCTCAAATTGCACAATTGTCTAGCCGGTGGTATTATCTGCTCTTTTGACAACTTTGTCAATTGGCTGTCATTTGGGAGGAACGTTTTAGCATATTAGAAGAGAAAGTTTCAGTCTCCTAAGGGAGGCAAGCTTTTGAATACTGACAGGAATGGAGAGGGATGCATATTACTGTTTGTTTGGCACTGCAATACTGACGTAGACATGATGGGAGTACCCCTTCTACTCTTTTTTTTTTTTTTTCAATAAATATTTTGCCATTAAAAAAAAAAATAGCTGTTATTTGGATTAGGTTCTTGTGGCCTTGTTTGGAATCTGCTTCTTTGCAGAAAAGTAAGCATACCATTTGGACAGTAGCAAGGGGAAACTTTTAATGGTGGTTTATTGATTATGGTAATCTGGTCTAAATGCTGCTGGTAGGGTGTAAATAATAGTTGAGGCTAATGGAAGCAAACCACAGAAAACCAGAATCTATACCTGTTTGACGCTTATGTTAGTTGGAATGATTGTTATTTTCTCCTTAAGAAAAGTCTGGTTTTAGTTATTCTGTATCAAATTTTGGGATTCCCCGACGTTTGTTGCTGCCTTTCGTGTGGAATAATTTCAGGAAGCTCAAAATTGTCTAACTCTCTCACCTTATATGCTTTATGAGCTCAAAATTGTTCCATTTTTGGTGGAATTGGTTGATTACGACTTGTATGCTTATTTTACCTCTTAGCAGTCATATCTAAGAAAATTATGTACATGATAATTTTCATTCCACCACATAGAACGATAGGAGCCACAACCTGACTCCTTGATCTATTGTGATTTAGAATTTGTAATGAACACTTTCCATGTGCATAATCATTTTACACCACATCCATCATCCACCACAGTAGGCTCCCACACAAGCTGTTTCCGGAGTGGATCTCTCCTTCATTTCTTATATCTCTCGTGATCTTTTTTGGCAGGCCAAAATCTAATTTCTCGAGACATTTGCCTCCGTACTATTAATTGATTTCAATCAACACCCCCACCCACCTTTCAGAGAAACAAATTTCTTTCTTAATTGACATCAACTGCTCTTCTGCCACAAGCAAATTAGCTGTCGCCAAAATCTCCACTCTCTCTTAATTTTCCTCTTTGGAATTAGTGCAATATGTCCAAACTTCGGTACATTAATCACGTAGCACCCGGCGTCAAGATATGTGGCTCGAGAAGAAATTGACCTATCAAAAATTATGTCCCATATCACAAATCCCGTGGTGGAAAGCGTAGTCAAGTTTCTAATATTCGTTTTGGTGAGGCGAATAATTATTCTGTTTCTTAATAATTTATCCGAAGCAAATGTCACGCAATGTGGTGAGGGGAGGTTAGAAAAGTACCCCATGGATCACACCTTCGTGTCATATTCCGTGGCCGAAAATAATAAATTAACACATAAGAATACAAGAAGATCAAAAGCAACCCAAAACAACCAACTTTGAATGGGATGACAGACGCAACAAAAATTCAAACAAGAAAAAATATATATATTGAAAGGGGTACCCAATGGCACCACTCAAAAGAGGCCCACGATATAGATATGAATGGTGTAGGGAAGGAATTTGAGGAGGAGATGAGACTGGGGGAAGCTGACACAAAAAAACACACAAGCACAATTTTGCCTTTAATAGGGGGAGCCTTTTTCTTTGGAGGACTCAATTGTATTCACACCTCTTTTAAAGCAAAGCAAAAACATTTCACCTTTTAAAGCATCTCCTAAATAATAAACCGACACACCCTTCAAAGATTTAACCCAATCTCTCCACAATCTTCAATAAAATCCCTCGCATGATTTCACTCCCTGCCAACCATGTGATACGAGAGTACAGTAATGTTGTTAATTATTTTATTCTTTGAATTATAAAATAGAAAATTTTTAAAATAAAAATTTTTTTATTTAAAAATTAATATTTTATAATTTAAAATAATTTAAATTATAAAATATTTTTTATTTAAATAATTAGATAAAAAAGTCTAAGTCATGTAATTGTGGACCCTTTTTGAAATCGAGTGCGAAAAAGGATTAATGTTTCTTTCTTGGTTCTTTTTTTTTCTACACGTTTTTTTAACGGAACATAATTTGAGGAGAAAATTTGAATCGTAATTCTGAAATTAAAATATATATTTTGTTTATTTCACATTGATTGTATAATAAAAAATAAATTTTTTTATCTTTTTATTTTATCTTATTTACATATCATGTGATTTAATTTAAAATTTATTATTTTAATAAAAAAAATTATTATTAAATTATTTAAGCAGTTGACAAAATATATACTTTATAAAAGACATATAACTATCAAACAACAAATTTTTACGGTGGTTTAGTACAGCCAAATTTGGTACAGCCATATTATCAAGCGCGGAAAGAGAGATGCATGTGAAGGGTAAAGAGAGGAGAGGCAGGTGCTTGGCGTGAGCAGGATGGAAACAAAGAAGCTCCGCTTTTAATTCTGCGTTTTCGTGGGGCTTTACTCTTACCCCTGCGGCCTTCTTTTACTTGCCAATTTTTGGTTGGTACAATTACAAAATACTAGCTAAATTCTTTAAGTACAGAGCATTAACATAGTTGTCAAGGAAGTTTATTTCTTTTCACCAAACAAAAGAAGTTTAACTTTTTTTTTGAAAAAATATTTTATAATTTAAATGATTTAAAATTATTTTTTTAATAAAAAAGAGACCAAGCCAAATCCACGCCCCAGCCGCAAGCGACATCTATGTCAAGTTGCTTTGGTTTGTTGGTTAATTTGTTATTATTATTATTATTTTTATATATTATCACAAATAAAAGTTTATTTATATATAAATTTTATGTATAATATTTATAAAAAATTTAATTATTTCTATTTATATTTTTAATAATTAAAATTTTATATAAATATAAAATGTAAAACCTATGATGTTACCATAATATCAAATTCTTTGTTTGGATTTTACCAAAAAAAAAAAAAAAATCTTTGTTAGGAAACTGCCTTGTGGGTTGTCACCAATCACCATTACTCTCTTTCTTTTTTGTGTGGTTTTTTCTTTTTTCAAAAATTTTTTAAAATAAAAAAATCTAGGATATGTGTTATTTGGTAAATTATGGATTATGGTCCTCATTTTTACTCTCTCTTCCATCTTTCTCTGTTTCTCATTTATCCTTGAAAGGCCCTCTTTCTTCCTTTCATTGCTCTAGTGGGTGTTGTTTGTTTGGTCTTCTATCCTTTTTCTCTCTTTCTTTGCTCGAGAAATAAGAGAAAAATTGCTTCCCTGAAAAAATAGTTGTGGTTTCTTTACCGATTTCCTTTATTTACTCTGCTGGGTTCTTTTAGATCCATCAACCTCTTTCATTCCCGTCCGGTAGGTGAGCTTCTTGGATTCATTAGCCTTTTTATTTGTTTTGGCTTGATCGGTGGAGAAGAAGATGGGTTTTGAAGGATATTAGGCATGATTTTTTTTAGTTTTTATTTTTTGGCTGTTTGGTTGTATTGGGTAACTCCCTTTTTTTTTTTTCTTTTAACTTTTGCTTTTATGGTTTTGGATTCCTAAAACAAGTTTGTACCTTTAAGGTCTTGCCTGTTTGTGTGATGAAATGAGACTGTTATTTGTGGCTGTGCTTTTACTGCCTGTTTTTGATTATCCAAAGCTATTATGGTAGAAGCTGATTTGAAAAGAGATGTTGCTTATGGTTTTCTTGTTTGACCTATGGTTTTCCATTGCATTTTGCCGATGTGTCTGTTTTTTCTCGACTTTGCTAAAGGTAAAATGAGGAATAATAAAATCTTAGACTGGAATGATTTTGTGTCTTGTTCTGTATGGTTATGTGTGAAAGGTTTAACCTTTAAATTATCAGGCTTGGTTTTGCTCTTTGCCGAATTCTGATTGCCTCAGTTCTCTATGAGCTAGATTCAATTGTTTTGTGCACTTGCTTGTGATTCTAGACTGTTGTGGAGCCGATTTTGGTGACAGATTACTGGGCTAATGATTTTTTTGATGTTTATAAAGGTCTGAGTACCTTGCATACTGAGAGTTCCAAACATTTGGATGCCTGCTTGACCTAGCTGCAAGCAGCACTTTGGTATTCTTTGTTAATGGCAATTTCATGCTAGATGAGCTAACTTTTGATTTGTATGATTGGAAGACTTCTTATTTTTAGCTGCATTTCTACTGTTACAGTTTTATCGGGTTTTTGGTCGACAGCACATCTAGTGCTTTCCTCTGTTTTGCAATGCAAGATAAATTAGGTCTTGTCTCTTATGTTTTTAAAACCCTAAACCCACAACATTCCTCATAAAGAATTTCTTCATCTTTGAAGTGCCTGTGTAATGATGAATTCTAATATGTTGAACAGTATATGCTAGTGAGTTTTGATATAGGAGTATCCTATTGGAATGCACTGTGAATGCCTAATATAATTTTCCTAAAATGCATTGTTGTTACAAATGTGACTGATATTTTTGTTGGAATTTTTCCAGGGCTTAATTGTAACTTATAAGGTAAATTCATAGAAGCCCTAATGCAGGGGCAGAGGGGTACCATTGGTTCCTTGCCTGAGACCTTAAACTTTGACCATGGATCGACATCAAGTAATGCCGCAATAGATCAGCAACTGTGTTGGAATAACATTCGAAACCCTGTTGAAAACCGATTACCGGATTGTATGATGTCACCTGATGAGGCAAACATCACATATGTGAATTCTTATAGCCGGGAACCGCAAAACTTGAGTAGATGGAACCTAAGTGAACCCAGCTCTAGTGGTGCACGGAATGAGGTCAACCCTATTGAACGGAAAATGGACAATGGGTGGTCTTCTTCAATGAGTTCTTGTGCTAGTGGTGGTCCAAGACTTGAAGAACCTTGGTATGACCAAAATTCTCTGTTTGTCCAAAGTTCCAATTCTAGCTCAGTTCCCCAGAATTTCAACTTAAATGCTGGTTTGATGGGTCATGGTGGCGATAATTTTCAAGCTACAGAACATTCTAATCTGAACAAGTCTAGTGGATCTGGGAATGAGCGGATTTCACCTGCTACTGGTTCTGAATCATTTGCCTTTCCTTCTGGAAGTGGTGGATTCTCTGTGGAAGATAATGATGGCAGGCCAGGTTCTTCATTTGATGGTCGCCGTGCTTCCTGCAAAAGAAAGGCTCTCGAAGGAACTGTCGGGCAGTCTTCCATGAGTGGAAGTTCTAGCCACCTGCATTGTGCAGATGGTAGTGCATGGCCCGCTGTTCCTGCTTATGCTAGTGCCGGTAGCAGTTTAAGTATATCTACTCTAGCAGAACAGGCAAACCCGACACTTGGATTAGGTTTAAGAGGTTCAGCTCCTGACAGCATTCCTGATCCAACTGTGAGGTCAAGTGCAGAGAGTTCCCATAGAAATTTCCGTATGAGAATAAATCCTTCAAGTCAACAAGAATCTGTGATGCCTGCATTGTTCCCAACAGGCAATGCTGCCATGCAATCTGTTGTTTCATCTTCCCATCACTTTTCAAGGCTTGTTTCAGCTGATCATTCTTTGGATTTGAGGTCAACACCAGTAGTAGATACTGGAAGTCCCCCAAATCAGAATATTGTAATTCATGTTCCAACTGTGCAACCGAATGTGCAGCCATTTAGGTGGAATGGAGGTTCTGCACCAAGGACTTCTAGTTCATCAAATTCTAATGTTTCTGGAGATAGAGATGCTGCACCACGTGAAGAACAGAGGTCAAGAAGCATAAGTAGAAATATATTGGATCATCCTATGTTTATATCTCCTGCTCCAGAGTTGAGAGGTTTGGCTCGAATCCCTAGAAATCGAAATTTAAGTGGTGGAAATGTAAGTTTTCCGGGAAATGTTGCTTCTACATCCCACACTGTCTCAAGTTCAGGCGCCAATCAATCATCTGTTCCTAATCCTACCTGGGTTCCTCCTCCTAATTCCTCTTCACACTATCCAAGGAGATTTTCTGAACTTGTTCGTCGATCATTGCTATCTTCCCTTGATCCTGAATCTGGAGGCCAGAGCAGTAATCATTCTTCACATCCATCTGGACCTCCTGCTTCCTCAGAGGAGATGGTGCTTTCAGCTGGAGTTGTTAACCCAGGGCATCAACGTCCATACCCTAGGTCAGTGTCATGGTTGGAGAGACAAGGTGATACTGTTCTTGGAATTCCTCACTCATTACGAACTTTGGTTGCTGCCAGTGAAGGAAGAAGCAGGCTCTTTGTGTCTGAGGTCTGTCTTAGAACCTATCTCTTTAGTTATGATAGTTTCCCCTTGAAATTTAAGAATGGTGACAGGATTATCACTATGTTAACAATTGTATTGTCTAAATTATGTTGATCCAATCATTACAGCATGCTACAGTTAGGGTAGAAACCAGGGACACTGCTTCTATGCATGTTAGTTATGTCTCTTGCATGATGGAATAGTCACTATTTTTCTTCCTTCTATACATCATCATATAAACTGTGAAATCACCATGACCTGGGCAAGATTTCTATTTGAAACCATCTTATCTTGTAATTTTTTATATGCAGTTTAATCATTTGGTTTTCGTCATATATATACCATTTGTTTTCAACAATCAATTGTCATGACAAAGTGGCAGTTAGCCAAAGCTTATAATATTTTGCTTTTATGGTACAGATTCGCAATGTATTGGATCTCATGCGTAGGGGTGAGGGCTTGCATTTTGAGGTAAGTTTTTGATGGTTTCAATAAGGAAACCTTATTAGTAGAGTTGTCAAATGGAACCATAGGATGGAAGAAAGACTCTTGATTTATCTGTTTCTTGTTGCTTTGTCAATATAGGTAATGGTTTTTTTTTAAAAAAAAAAAAAAAAATTGTGATATCATGGATTGAAAGTGGCTGCACAAATTTAGAAACTGCTAATATTTAGCGACCAGACACATATTTCCTTTTAACTGAATAAATGGTCTGACATTTTCATTTTGTACTTCAGGATGTTATGATCGTTGATCCTTCAGGACTTTTAGGGGTAGCTGATTTCCATGATCGGCATAGGGATATGCGCCTTGATGTTGATAATATGTCATATGAGGTAAAATACATGCATATTGTTAGCTTCAACTTTCCTTTTTATGTTTGCAAATGATTCTTACGATAATGTTTTCCTGTTTTGCAGGAGTTATTGGCTCTGGAAGAGCGCATTGGTAATGTGAGCACTGGATTGAGTGAGGAAACTATACTAAAGCATCTGAAACAGCAAAAATGCTTTATTGCTCCTGGAACTGAGCTGGAGGCAGAACCATGTTGTGTTTGTCAGGTAATGGACTAATCTTGTATTGTCTCTTACCTCCAACTTCATGGATGTTTTGCTTTAATGGTTTTGTACAATGTACAATGTATAGGAGGAATATAAGGACGGAGAAGATCTTGCTACACTCGAATGTGGACACGATTTTCACACCGATTGTATTAAACAATGGCTGACGCACAAAAATTTGTGCCCCATATGTAAAACAACAGGTCTGACTACATAAGCAAGATCCATGGTTTTCAGGCATTGAGAAAAGATGGTTTGTCCCTGAAAATTTGTTGCATTTGTTCTTCAACGACTCAAAGCACTTTAGCTAGCAAGGCAGGTGTAACCGTTCATTCCCATTCTCCCATGACATCCCTCAAGGAGTTGTCATTGGTACTTTTTTACTGGAGATTCTATGATCCATAAAACATTATGGGTGGATATCAAGATATTCGAAGCACTAAGGAAAAAAAAAAAAAAAGCTAGTGGTTTCATTTTTACATTTATTTAATGAACAAAAATTAGTTTTACTTATGAAATTTGAGCCCATTGGCTTATATAGATTATTGAGAATTTCTTTACATTTATTTAGATTTTCCCTTTAATTTGAAAAAACAATGTTACTTTTGGCAGAGCTGAGGGTGATGCCTATTTACCAGTTTCTCTTGTATGGTTTTGTTTCTGTGATCTGCCAATGATCCTTTCAAGAAAATTTCCAGTGAACCAATTTTTTTGCCTTGGTGAGAGGAGCAAAAAGGGGGTAAGCTGCATTCGAATTCCCAACCTAGCAACTTTGGTAATAATTAGCGAAACAACAATTTGATTAAAGCTGTGTTCTAGATTCTGATATTTTGGATTTTAATGAGTTCTAGGTATAATTTGTGATACTAGTAGACATGACAAGATGATATAGATGATTTTTGGCCGACGTCTTAGTGTATGGTTTCCTATTCAATTAAAGAAAAAGTAAAAGACGACAAGAAAGAGGTAGTGGTATTTCAAAGACAAATTATGAGCTCGTTGGATTTGCAGGGTGGTAGTAGGTTCGGCGTTCTGCGTTTTGGAGCAAAGTTGTTCAACACGCCACTGTGAAGTTACGTGGGGAATTGCAGTATTGCACTGTTTCAGTTTGTTTTTCAATTATTTTTTTTTGGGGGGTTAATGCCCCTTCCTCTCCAGCGGACACGTTTGGTTGGATAACACACGCACTGAACACTCTTTGACCGTTTTCCCTACCCGATGTCCCGACAATTTTTCTTTATCTCATTCCCATCCCTCCTCCAGCTCCAGCTGTCCCTCTCCCTACCCTCAAATTGTCAAAACTGTACTCAACACTATATATCATATTCCATCAATTTTTAAATAAATTATTTGAAAGCATTAGCAGTGGTAGATTGATAATATATATCAAGTATTTTAGTCATATCAAAATTTAAGTCTGTTTGGATTAAGGTCGTTGAGAGGGAGGAGAGCAAGGAGGTGTCTCTCTCTTTTATATTGTTTAGATAATATTATTAATAGAGAGAAAGAGAAAGAGGTGAATGAAGTAACAGTAAATTTTTTTAAAATTTTTTATTTTTTAATCCCTTCAATTTGAGGGATCCAAGAGGATTGGATTTTTTTCTTTTTTTTTTTTCAAAAATGTAATTAAAATTTACATTTTAACTTTAATCTTAATA